ATCTCCCCAATAATGTGAATTTTTCCTCTAACATCAGCACTCCTGAAGAATTCTTTCAACCACTTTTACCTCAGTCAGCTTGGGATGAAAAAAACTTGCTGACATCTATAAATGTAATCTGCTTGCCCCGCTCTGAAACGTCCTGGCCTTTCCAAACGACACCCAAGCATGATTACATGTATTAATACGCTGTTATGCCTGTATCCCCTTCTCGTACACTTAACACTTTTTTAATAAGTACAGTCAAAGAAAGCCATGGTTTGGTGGAGTCTGCTTTCATGCCAGAAAGAGTTTTTTAAATTGCTTAATTTATACCGTGTTACTAACTCGTTAATAGTTAAAAATGCTTATGTACACAAAAAGAAATAATTTATCTCCTCCTTGGTCCTATCAATTTTCTTCTGTCAACAATTCTAAATAGCTTTGGTCCTTGGTAAATAAGCTTAAAAAATTTGTGAGTAGCAATATCGTATTGATGACGTCTTCGGAAAATTACTTAACCCCTCCAGGGATTCCTTTTATGTTTTTACGCTGAACTTTCATCACATCTACTTCACTTGATGCCCCATTTTTTGTCATGATTATTTCAAATTTGTGATAAACAGTAGAAAAAACACAACAAAGCTGGATGTGATCGGTTTACTTATGTATGCTCCGGAAATGTTTTGTGAAAAATTATATCTCTTCAACTTCATCTATCTGAATGGTTCTACTCTATCTATTTTCAGTAGTTCACTCATTTTTCGCCCTTTAAAACACGTCAACATCAGATGTTTTCTGAAATTCAGATGTGGGTACTTCACCTTCTGTAATCTCATTAAGCTTAAATTTCTTTAAAAAAAGTGTGGTAAGCTGTACTGTTTTTTGTTGACCTTAAAGCAGCTTTTGATACAGTTAGATAAAGAAACTATACAATTTATTATTTGTATTACAATAGTATTGTTATTATATAGATGGCTTTAACTATGTTGACGCCCGCCATCTTGTGCAGTATGTAGAGAGGGTTCGTGCAGTCTAAGTTTAAGCACAACAGTTGAACTGTGTGTTTACTTTGAAGTGTTAAAACAGTTCGTTTTCTTCTATATAAGAACTCCGTTCACCTGATAGATAGTATGGTCCATTCTGTTCCATTTTTAAAGCTTTATAATGCAGGAATATCATCAAAATTTGTTCATTTTTTAAAATCCCTATATTCCAAACTCATCGGCTGCCGTGAAAGGTTTAAATGGAACCAGAGATCCCTTCAAGGTTAGGAGGGGTGTGCGCCAAGGCTGCCTATTGACCACAGTTCTGTTGTTTATCGACGATTTGTATCTGGCTCTTGGACGTTGTGCTCATGCTTTTTTTTCCTCTACCCTCCTGGCTTTAATATGTGTAGCCTTCTAGCTGAGCTGGATTGTTTTATCCCAATTAAGATGGATTTTTAAATTACGATTCGATACGGCTAGTTCATTTGAATCACACACCATGGATAGAACAGATGGATGAGCAGTGTGACGTGAGCGTCTTAATTTCAATTTTTAAACTTAAAAATACCACTGAGGATGTTGCGCGTGGTGTAGCACTTGTTGATGATGGACATTCAACCAGGTATGCGACTATTCTTGCGTAGCTCAGTGATGGTGTGGGCGGTAATTTATAATGGAGAGTCGCACAGAGTTAGTTGTTGTTCGTGGAGGGACTACTCGCTATGTGGATGAAATTTTGGAACATCGTGCGTTACCTATCCTCGATGAAACCAGCGTCAATCCTATTCTAACGCACGACACTGCCCGTCCATATGTCGCTCCCATAGTACAAACATACCTTCAGCAGCATAACATCAAGGTCTTAGCTCTCCAGTCTTGGTTCTCCAGACTTGACCCCATCGAACATTTATGGGATAACCTCAAAGAACGAATCAGAGCACGTCCATCACTTCCTGATACACTCCACGACCTTGAAAGTATTCGTCGTGAAGAATGGGCTAACCTCCAGCAAAGAGACATTTCCAGACTGGTGGAAAGTACGCCGAAGCATCTTCGAGTTGTAATTAAGGGAAGAGTAGGAAATACGCGATAGAAATGTTAAACTTTAATTAATATATAATAATAAATACAAATCAAGTTACATTACAAGTGGGTGAAATTTTTTGCCTGCCAGTGTATTATCTGTTCAACCCCCGGCAGACGGTTTATTACCACGCGACACAGTGAAACATTTTATTTTATTTGTCGTTTTAATTCTAAACATATATTTTAAGTGTGTGGTGATTAGTGACAGAAGATACACTTTGAGTGAGTAGAAATACTTTGATTGAATATATAAAAAATATTGAATATATAAATTCACTTTTCCACATCCAAAATGTAATTGTTATATGTAAACAATGTTAAATCCCAGGCCCTGAAGATGATCTCAATAGAGATCGAAACGTTCTTCAGTCACATTTGCCTTTTACTGCTTTTGTAAGCTGGTTTCACGGTTAACTTTATTAATTGGAAGAAACAGAAATAAGTCTAATTTATCGGCCACAACCTTTGGTCGAATATTTTGTCTGATATTTGAAATCGGCCGAGGTTTTTTTCTCGCCATCATCAAGACTCTAGGCAATATATTATAATCCGTCTACGTGCATTTCCACGCGTCCACACTGAGTATTGGGCAACATTCCGACTGACTCAACTCTCTCACATAATTATTGGAGGCCAATATTGCGAGATTTCGCCTCCCCCCCCCCTCGTGTGAGTAGACAAGGTTGTATTTAGCACTTTTAAATGTGATTATTAACACGTAGCACATCGTTTTATAAAAGAACGTCATTTTTTAAATTGATTCTCATTACTGTTGATGAGGAAGGATGAACTAAATAAATTTTCCATGTGGGATGTGCTGGTTTCTAAATATTTGTCCTGTCTTGTTTAGTCTGCGAATTATGAGGTCGTTTCGCTCATCCTGGTCCATTTACCATGATGTGTAATATTTCGTCATTTTGCCACCTTGCGCTTTTAAAGACATATAGACATCTTTTGAAATTTTCATCAGCTAGTTTTTTGTTGTATGTTTTGTTTTTTCAGCGCCGATGCTGCGCAGGCCGCGTCGCCTTATAACCGGAAGGCCGCACCTTACTTTGTCTGTTTGTCCGGTTCACTTCCTTCCGAAGGTGCCGTATTTTTTTGCCGATGTCATTTCCCAGTCAGAAAACTGCATCACTTCCGATTTGACAATTCAGTTTTGTGTTTTGTCCTAAATCTTGGGTTCGACAAGCAAAACCAGTATGAGATTACCTCGTGAGGTATGAGGTTTGATGCACCTGGTGGTCGTTTCCGATCATTATTGATATGTCAGACTTGCTCAGCGTTGGGTCTATGTACTTTAAGTCATTCGTCTCCGCAAACTAAAATTCAAGGAATGAACAAATTTTGCTTTTTTAAACATTTCGGGGTACGCATTTCACCAGAAACTTATCAATATAATCGAGGTTACCTCTTGAGGTCTGCGGCCGATGGAGTTATAATTTGGTCATTTCAGATGATTTTGGTCAATCAGACGTGTTCAGCTTGGGATCTATATATTTTTTTGTCATTCGTTCCACAAACCAAAATTCAAGGAATGAACAAATTTTGCTTTTTTAAACATTTCGGGGTACGCATTTGACCGGAAGTTTATCAACATGCCATTACCTCTTGAGGTCTGCGGCCGATGGAGTGTAATTTGGTCATTTCAGATGATTTTTGGTCAGTCAGGCGTTTTCAGCGTTGGGTCTATGTATTTTTTTGTCATTCGTGTCCACAAACCAAAATTCAAGGAATGGACAGAAATTTTTTTTGTCATTCAGGACCACAAACCAAAATTCAAGGAAAGAAAATGTTGCTTTTTGATACCTCTTGAGGTCTGCGGGCTGATGGAGTTATAATTTAGTCATTTCAGATGATTTTGGTCAGTCAGGCGTCGTGTTCAGCGTTGGGTCTATATATTTTTTGTCATTCGTGTCCACAAACCAAAATCCAAGGAATGAACAAATGTTGCTTTTCTAAACATTTCGGGATACACATTTGGCGAGAGATTTATCAATATATAGTGAAATTACACTCTTGGTGTCTGCGTGTTGATGGATTTATAATTTGGTCATTTCAGATGATTTTGGTCAATCAGACGTGTTCAGCTTGGGATCTATATATTTTTTTGTCATTCGCCCCACAAACCAAAATTCAAGGAATGAACAAATTTTACTTTTTTAAACATTTCGGGGTACGCATTTGACCAGAAGTTTATCAATATATAGTGAAATTACCCTCTTGAGGTCTGCGGGTTGATGGAGTTGTAATTTGGTCATTTCAGATGATTTTGGTCAATCAGACATGCAGCGTTGGGTCTATATATTTTTTGTCATTCGTGTTCAAAAACCAAAATTCAAGGAATAAACAAATGTTGCTTTTTGATACCTCTTGAGGTCTGCGGGTTGTTGGATCATTGTATGCGGGTTTGTTGGAAGCGTTTTGGCCCTGTGCCTACTAATTTGTCACCTACTTCACACAGACGGATCGCTGAAGACGGCGAGAAGCCGAAACCCGTGTGACAGGCCAAAATGACCAGGTTATGGAACATTGTCTAGCTTTTTAGCTTCTTTTTATCCATTTGGTCGGTATTACAAAATCCTCCAGAACAATTCATGTAATAGATATCTGTTTTCCCCTGGCACGTGAGTTCATTTAAATTGTTTGGCAATGCCATTATTTTATCGCTTCTCTCCATCCAAAATGAGTAGTCAATTATTTATGAAATTAGTCTCTGTTTGTATAAGAAAAGGAAACGATGTGTGGTTGAATAAGTAAACTTGATTTGTATCTTGCACAATTAGTCAAAGGTGACTTCAAAACTCAACAAAAAAAGTGGTAGAAAATATGTGATATGAGCCTGAAATTCATTACATCCGATTGAGTTTCCTTTTATATCGCCGTATTTCTTTTATTTGAGTACAATTCTAACATGTTTTGATTGTTTTGTGTTTTATGTTTCAGGGTGACATCACCCAACAAGACAAAAGAGCTGCATTTTTGTGCGTCCACGACCTCGGATGTAACCGTAAGTTTTCACAGTGATCTTATGTTGATTTTCTTTAATGACTTACGATTTTAGATTACTCTTTCGATGAGTTCATAAACAAGCCGTGTATGTCAGAGATCAAAGATCGATCCATATTCATACTTGTCGACGTGCCAGGCCATGAAGAAAACGCTGAAACATTGCCAGAGTCGTAAGAATTTTTAAATTTCTTGTTTACACTACATACAGAACGCCAATAAGTTTTTCTTTTTTTTGTATTTAATCGCTTAACTTCAATTTCATGGTGTTAGGTTTACGTCGCAGTGTTTTACGCGCGCGCTGGCTAATCGCACAATTTTACAGGACGTGGGGTGTAGATAGGAAAACGACGGAAATTGGGTTGCTCTGCGTTCTTCCTCTCATTCATTAACGACGCGACGAACCATCTGCCAATTGAGCAATCGTTAAAACTACTTTCAAGGAAAACATTTCACCACGAACCACTTGCTAAAAGCTTTTGGGAAAGTGTCGCAGTTGGATGATTTTACCATTCTGGTCCCATTGATGATTACGATGCCGCTTCCGCCTCCCACCGGAACGTGGAAGTGCGATAGTCGACTTTATGTAGGTCACACTGAATTTCGGCGGAGTTGATTAATTCCCAAGATTCACTTGCCTTCTCGGCCGCTTTTTAACATCTGTAATAAAGGTTCCATGCTTTTTCATGTTTTTCATAGCAAGCATTTTTTAAATTTTTTAATGCACCTTTAAATACAAATTTGGTCTTTAGATTAATGTAAGATTAAGGGATGCCTTGTGTTTTCAGTTCAACAAAGTTCAGCCAGGACTTCTATGGGTCCTGAACCCTTGTGTGTCATTCCAAAATGCCATTCGTAGGCATTGGTCCTCAGTTCAATGGCACTGTATCCCAGGACTTAAAGTCTACTACACCTAAGACCTGTTTGGACTTGAATGATAAAAAGACTGCTGAATGGCACTTTAGATCAACAAAAACAAGCAAAATGCGTAGATCCATCAGACTAGGTTAAAATAAGTCTTTGGTTCAATGGGAACGTATTCTGGGATGGGGGTATGCAAAAAAGTTTATTAAAGGACATCACAGAAACTAACAACAGAACTGCTAACGTAGGACCAAGGGTAGTAAGGCTGCTTGGTGGACACTGCATATAGGCTCGGAATGGAAACAAAGGTCCATCAGACAATGGAGAAGAATAATTCCTTGGTTCAATTGGACTGTATTCCAGGATGGAGGCATGCAAAAAAGCTCATTAAAGGACTCTTCCAGTAACTAAAGACAGAATTGGTATCCTATGACCTAGTGTAGAAGTACTGGGTATCCTATGACCTAGGGTAGAAGTACTGGACATTGGATATAGACTCAGAAGGGGGAAAAAAAAAGACCCATCAGACAATGGGTTAAGAATAGTTCCTCGGTTCAATTGAAATGTATTCCAGGATGGAGACATGCAAAAAAAGTTTATTAAATGGCCAATATAGAAACTAACAACAAAACTGTTAACCCAGGATCAAGAGATTAGGACTGTTGGCTGGACAGTGCAGGCTATGGAGGCGCATAAACTGGAAGTGGCAGAAACACACCTTTGCTAATATTTTCAGGAAGAAGAAAAACAGCAGAATATGTCTTCTGTTGGTGTGAACGCCCATAGGTGCGGTAAACTGAGAAATAGGAGGTAAAAATGGAGGAGGGAACTGGATCTAAACTAGCATGGGACTTTTCTATGTTCAAGTTAAGCCCATTTTCTGTGTCCCAGAGTACCAGAAGGTAATCATTTATAAGTCCTCTTGAGTGCAGAACCTAGTTAGGACTAGAATGGTAGTAGGTCTGCTGACTAAACATTGCAGAATTCAGAACAGCAAAAACAATCCTGTGCCAGGAAGAAGAAATAGCAAAACATTCTTCTGGTGGTGCGAAAGTCAATGAAGGCTGAGATTCCTACTGAGAGGTAGTTTTGGGACTTTCAAGACAAGCAGTGCTTGTGCAGATATTCCAAGAGGAAGAAGAAACAGTCATAAGTTGTCTTCTGTTGGTGTGTAGAAAGGAGTGTTAAAACCAATGCCTGAAGGACATAGAAGCCCTTATGAAAGCTTTGGGATCTTGTAAAAAGTCTTATGCCGATAGCTCCTGACAATGTGGGAGACTGCAGAACAGGCCAATATTGGTCATAGTGTGTTAAGTCAAGCTGACACCTTTTAACCTTTATATTCATGTTTTATTTTTACTAGCTCTTAGATCAATTGGGTGGTTAATAGTTGTAACATTTTTTTTTAAATTTTACTGGCTGTTACATATTGATTTTACACAAATAATTCTAAATAAAATATATTTAAAGCAATATTAAACTATTTTAGTTCATTTCCATCTCTTCAAACTTTGGGAGAAGATTTGGTGACCGTTTTGGATTTCCTTCATGTAAAATATGTCGTTGGACTCGGCGAAGGAGCTGGTGCAAATGTCTTGGCAAGATTTGGCCTCGCTCATCCGTCGAGAGTCATTGGGTTGATTTTAATCAACTGCACAGGATCAGTGACATCCGTCAAAGAGGTGTTTAAAGCCAAGGTTAGAAGAAAAAAAATGTTGTCTTTTCTATATTGCCAATTTACTTGAACTTGAACTGTCATCAGTTGGTGAACTGGAAAGGGAAAGAAGGATCCGTAAGCCAATCTGCTGAGGACTATCTTGTATTCCACAAATTCGGTCATGTATGTACATTTCTTATATTTTTATATAATAAGAAATTAAGCGATATTTTATCATATTTCATTTTTTTTATGATGCATACGAGCTTGATATGTAATTGAATTTATTTAACAAATGTTACAATTTTCAATAAATTAACATTAAAAGTCAAGAAATTTTTTCTGTATGGATTTTTTAATTGGTGAAAAATAACTCTGTTAAGTACAAAGAGTTATTTTCCAGATTTTTTTGTCTCATTGGTACATCAAGATATTTTTGTTTTTCAAGTGTTATTTTCCTGTTTGGTCCAAAATAAATGAAATTGTTTTACAGTTTTGGAGTACTAATTGTGTTTTATCAATTAGTTATCGTTGATTTTTTGTTTTTTTCACTTGTGGTATCTTAAAGAGCCATAAACAACAATACTTGGCTACAAATCTCCCAAAAAAAACACAATTCGATCGATTTCATCTAATTATTTACATTTGATCTTTAGTTTGTTTACTTTTTTTACCAATTTTTCCAGAATAATTTGGGTTTTCATCAAGTAGACTTAGTCTTCCTGGTTACAGTTTTATTAATAAAAAAAGTTTCCTGGTAGCTTTTCGAGTGAAAGTGAACACCTATACTTTTATTTATTAACATCTCTGTCATTTTAAAACATATTTTGACTAATGCAGTTATCTAACGTTCTCTCTGTTTAAATTTAATAGCCTTGTTTTCTTTTATGCTCTCAAGATGTTCATTGAGGTATGCAGTCTTTAAAAATAGCATATATTTTACTATAACAAAGGACACCTTTTTTTTTTTTTTTTTTAATTCAATTTCTACGATTAATATATATATGTCGCAGGGATATGATAAAAACATGGATTTAATCAAATCCATAAGAGAGATCGATTCATGGTAAGTATAATTGAAGTATTAAATGGAACTTTCTGTTATAGAGTTACAAAGGACATTACTTTTTTTACAGAAAATTTTTGCGCCGTACTTTTGATTTTTCACAGGAACTCTTCTTGAATCCTTGACCTCTGAATAAACATATTAGTCTACCTTAGGTACATTAATGAAAATGTTGGAATCCACTAGCATTTTATACTTACTTCAAAGTTTTTTAGGTTTTGTGCATGTTCCTTTTTTTCATTTTTCTTGGCATAGAATATCCATTATAATAACATAGAAGATCCAAATCCTTCTCCTACCTTGTATGCACTGAACTTTCTCTCTGGGATTTGATTAAATCCCTGTTTTTATCATATCCCTACAACATATGGAATACAAATTTACACATAACCTAATCACTATCTCAAAACATAAAAATAAACAATTTTCATTGCCAAGTATTGCTTTTTTCAACTTTGGTCGTTTGAATTTTAATAATCGAATTTCTCTTTTAAAGCTTGAAAAATAGCAGACTTTCATTTTATTTAAAAAATTTCTAAAAAGAAATGAAATCGCACCGCTTATATCCACTGTGGCTGTTTGGTCTACATGCTTTTTCCTTCAATTTTATTGAACTATTTTACTATAATTTTTTTGTTTACAACTTGAGAAAGTTGTTTTTAAATAATAACTTCCATTATTAAGATAGAAGCATGGTTTTTTTTCGTGAGATTTTCTCTCTTCTGGAGGGTTACGAACCTGTAGTTTGGTCATTTTAGCAAAGGCCAAGCTGCATGATTTTTCTTAATAGCTTGCGTTGATAACTTCAGGCCCAAAACACACCAGATGAGGTGATTTGTTGAAGCAAATAGAAAATGTTTGTGATTGAATATGACTCAATGTCAAAATTACACTGCAGGCATATTCAGTCATTTGTGATCCAGGGTAATGAAGACTTCTTCACTTATGGTCTTGTATCTTCATATGAAGAAGAGGATTGCCCTAGTTTGACCGTTGCTAACATTAAACTCTAAATTCAAATTGTTGTAAAAATGATATCTGTCTAGGAAATTTCATCGCACAATTTGTCAGTTTATCTGCATCGCATTCCATCTTAAAGAATCTAACAAAAAACAAATGTCTCTACAACAAACATCCTCAGAATAAATAATATGTAGGATTGGCAATGTTTAAAGCAAACCAGTCGTTATGACACAATACCAGGACTGATCGTGACTGGAGCAGACAGAAGCAACAAATATGTTTGCCTTGGTTTTCATACTTATTAAACTTACACTGTCATCCTATTTTGCTTGTATTGACAAATCCGGTGTGTTTTAGGTCTTAGATTTCACAATTGTGTATAGATTATTGTTCGTTTTTATAATGGTATATTTTTGTAGAAAGTATCGATATTTTTCTGGCTATAAAAATAATTGCTACTCCGTCGATTTAATTTTTTTTTATTTTATTTTTATTTTAATGTTAATTTTTATTTGTTTATACACAAGCAAACTGATTTAAGCTCAATTTTAATTATCCAAATTGTTTTATTAGTGTTATGTAATGGATTTTGTTTGCATACAGCAGTTTATTAAAGATTCAAATGAAGACAAAGACAGGACAATTGAAGACTTCCTGCAGAAGTTGAAGGGTTCTATTAACCTGCAGAATGTTAAGATGTACGTCAATGCATTTCTGAAGTAAGTATTTCATATAAATTGTTTAATTTCAATACTGATTATTATAAAATTTTCGATGTTGAAATATATTTAAAAATTTAATTTTTTAAAATTATTATTTGCTTAATAAAAAATGTGTATTTCTATTTCAGCCGCACCGATTTACCTCTCAAGCAGTACAAAAGTGACATCCTTCTCATCACCGGAATGAATGGGTCATTTGCCAATGTCGTTGAAAAGCTTCACAGAGATTTGGACAAAAAACAAGCGACCCTTCTTAAAATCGATAAAGCTGGCGACGTTCTCTCTGAAACAGTACGTAACTAAAATATTGCATTTGTGTAATTTTTTTTTCTTGTCCAAAATCAGGAAAAATTAAATAATAAGCGAAATAATAATGTAAATAGATGTTATTTATATTTAATATTAGCAATAAACAGCATCTGATGTCGTGTTTGTATTTCAGCCAGCCAAAGTCGCAAGAAGTCTTCTTCTTTTCTGCAAGGGTCTAGGTTGGCTCACTTCTGTCACTCTTCCAGGAGTTGAAAGGCAAAGGGCATTTTCAGGATGCACTTTTGACGGAGAAAACAAGAAGAAATTCTCAAGGGGGATGAGCATGGATGATTATGATAAACCGAATCTCAGGAGGTTTTCATTGACGTCTGGAGATGGTGGAAAACAACATTAATTTATAGTTGCCTATTTTACTGCTTTTGCACTTTTACATTTATGATTCACATTATAAAAATAATAGTTATTACATAATAATAATAGTCATTATACATAATAATTGTAATAACATATAAGACAGTTCAATTGTGAAGCTTTATATTTATTTATCATATTATTTCTATTGTACAAGACAATGTATTATTTCATTTGAGTAATTTTTATGTTACCATTACATGTAGAATATAGTAAATACTAGAATTTAAGAATGTAAGGTAAATATCATTCACCATCACACCATTGTGTTATTATTTGTTTAAATAATTATTTTTGAAATAAATGTTTAAATAAAAAGTTTTTTAAGCCTATTAATAAAATTTATTACTACAAGCCCTGTGAATTTTTTTCTCTTTGTAGATTTTAACTTATTTGAAGCCACTAAATTTAAAATAGATGCATGTACTAGTGGCACTAAATTGGTTCAAATGTAATCATGAAGTTACCGCAAAGTGTTGCCTTGTAATGTGAAGCAACAAAATGCAAATATCGAATCTGCTGTTCATGGCTAAGCAGAAGCTAGAACGAAAAACCAGTTACAGTAAGAAGGAAATAGGCTCTATGCAAAAAGCAAGTGGTACCCTGATGTTCAGGATGAAGATGTTGACTAGAGGGTTTGAGATGAGTGTCCAGGGTTTTATGGAAGTATCAGTTCTAGCGGTTTTGAGGACAAAGTACTGTATAGGTAAAGTTGGATATGAAGTAGGCAGTGTGGGTGATTATTTGAAGGATTTTGGACCAAAGTGATTGGATTTTTTGGAGGTTGCTTCGTTGAACCACATGGTTCAATTCCATAACTTATTTCATTGCAGTAGGCGGGGGGGGGGATAAAAGGCAATGGACTAGCATGTTTCGATGAGAATTTAGGATTTTATTTCAATTTCTAGTGGTTTTGAGTACAAATGGGATATGATGGTCTGTGTGAATAATAAAGTTAGATATTAGGTAGGAAGTTTTGTCAATGGTTCTAAGGTTTTTAGCCTGGACTAATTGGATTCTATAGGAGTTGGGACGTTTGGTCCCAACGCCACAGTTGGGTGGTTCCAAGTGAGTCTTTTGTATGTAAAACCACAAATAGAGCTTATGGCAAAGGATGTAGAATTTTTGTTGGTATTTTCATTGAGTCCGACCCTCCCTTTCTTTACTCATGAACGTAACGATCCTAGAGGTTTCTGAAGGCCACTGGGTCTGGGTTTGCTGAAAGGATGGTGGCAACATCTGCATATTTTAGGGCATGTAATGAGATTGTATATTGTATGTACACTGAATAGAGAATAAGACTGAGGATGCTGACTTGTGGAACACCTGCTTTGGTATAGTGGATGGGGAGAATAAAAGAATTACATAAAAATAAATATTAACAAATTAGCATCATTTACCTTAAATGATAGTTTTTCATGTTATACCATTACCAAATTATTTAAAAGGATGTAGATAGTTAAAAAAATAACCTTCACAAAAAATTAACCTATGTACAAATCTTTAAAAAGGAGCAACCTTTGGAATAAAAACAATCAAAAACAAAGGTTAATTTAAATTTTAAAATGCATTGTTTTCTTGTGTTTTAACATCACACTTTCAGTTCAATTGTGGGTTAAAAATGACGATAATTGGATTGCCAAAACCGCCCAACAGTATAATTTTAACTAAAAATAATTTATATCAACAAAATTCCCTTCTAATACAAAACAATGATGTTAATAATAAATGATTCACCAAAATTAATCTAATTTGTAATTAGCCTCACTGTATTGTTCTGTTAGTTATGTTTTGGTTCTTTGCCATCTTCTTTGTTTTGCTTGTGTAATACAGCAGACAAATTAGCATTCATATTATTGTTTATGTAGTTGTCATAAACATGGGTACAGTTAGATTTGGAGCTTTCACTCCATAAAAAATTATTTTAGTGGTCAAATGATCCTGGCGTTTTGATTTTTCAATGTCGTGAGCGGATCCAGTGTTGTACTGAGATGTAAAACCCTCTTATAACGAGTGAGAATGAAAACTTAATTCAGGAGAATAAGATGTCTTTGTACACCAACCCTCAATGTTAATAATGAAACGCTGCTGCTCCAACCACTTGTGCTATCGTGACTTCAATCCTCTTGGACACAAACGCATTATCTCAACCAACTACTTTTTTTTTTTTTTCAAATTTCCCTCTTTTGGCCATATATTAAAATATCGGATTTGATTCTCGGTGATGATGAAGTTGCCAGGGGAGCTATTAGGGAAGTGCAAGTGCTTCAGTAATTATGAAACCAGTCCATTTGTATTTTAGTTGATCCTATTTAGCCAGAGTAATTATCTAAATTGATTTATCATTTTTATGTAGTGTGGCTGAGATGAAAAATGTTCTTTGGATTAACAAATCTTCCTTTATGACACATTTCAGGGCATGCATTTGACCAGAATTTTATTGATCAAGTGGTACATCAAGTGGGTAGTTTGGTCAGTTCAAATCATTGGTTTGTCAGATGTGCTCAACCTAGGTTTTTTAGGCTCCTAGGTCTAAGTTTTTTGTCATTTGTGTCCACAAACCAATCTTCTTTTATGATATATTTGGGATAGGCATTCAATCAGAAATTTATTGATCAAGTTCAAATTCAAATTCTTATTTAAGTAACACATTATTATACCAATGCAAACTTCTCATGGTACCCTCACATTTCCCAAATTTCACGTTGTTGTTTTACCTCCCTCATCCAATTCCGCCGGGCCTGGCTCCTACCTTTTTCCACCTGTAAACTCCTGGTCTTCTCCTTCATTTTTCCCTTCTTCGACTATAGCTGTGTTGCTTACGGTGGGCTTTCAGGGGAGCATAATAAGCGCCTAAAAAGATTAATGAACTGTTGTGTCAGGTTCATATTCGGCATCCCCTGAGGTTCCAGGATATCACAGTTGTTTTCAGACCTATCCTGGTTCCATCCCTCATTGCAAAGTATATAATTCTTGGTTCCTTCCTTTACCAGGCCATTACCACCCATCGTCCTCATAACATTATCTAGCCCATCCGTTTCAAATCTTTCCACTCTTGCAATACCCGCTTATCTCCCTGTAGCCTAATACTTCCCCAGCACAAAACATGCATCTTTAAACAGTTTTAACTTGTCTGAGCACCAAAATTCTGTAACTCCCTCCCTTTAACTATCTGCAAAGCCGCTTCCCTTACTTCTCCAAAAGAGTCTATTTAACCCCACTTTAAATTTACTCAGTAATTATTATTTTCTGTGGTAATGATCAGAGTAGTTCATTTTAGTTTTAACCCCTTTGGGTTTTGTTTTTTATAAGTCCATTGTTATTACGTTGATCACCACGGCAAAGTTTGTTTTTGTGTCAAAAAGTTATTAACTCTTAATTTAACCTATGTATTATTCTAAAGGGACGCTCCTGTCCCAGAATAAATTTTGTTTTTCTTCTTTTTGTTCATTATCATCATCTGAAATTCAATCTTTTCGATCTTACCGAGTTTGGTGAAGTGTTAAAAACAGCGACACGAGGCGGACCGAGAAGTTATGTGACGTTGCAGACGTCTTCGAGCGAATGAGGAACCCAGGGCAAGAGTGCGAGAAGGTTACTACGTGGAAGGTTTATTTTCCTTTGTGTGTATATTTTGTTCGGTTCACATTTGAAAATTTCGATTATTGGCGATTTTGGACAAGACAATAAGTTAAAATGGATATTTCACCTCCGCCGACTAAGCCTCCTCGAGGTGTGAAAAGCCCGAGAGAAACTGTAAGTCGACAGAATATTTCCTAACTTGTGTTTGAATCGGTTAAAATTCCCCTTGCTCGTATTCTCGATTTTTCTCCGTTTAACGTGTTTTAATTTTAGTTAGAATTTCGTGTCGAATTCAACAAAACGAGCCAGGAAGCCGGAAAAAATGCCGAATTCGAAATTAAATCGTGCCTGAAGTGTTGCGAGAGAGATTAAAAAACGCCCACTCCCTATGGGATTTCATTATAAAAAATACTTATCCAACGATTTTTTAATATTATTTCTAAGTCTACACAGCTCCTTCCTTGCAATCCCAGGTTGTTTTATCCACACTAACATTGATTAGGCCCTAAAATACGTAAATGTAAAAATATACAAAAATTGTCAGTAAATATACTTTAATATAAATACTAATAACTAATCGTTAAGAATTTTTCCATGCACCAAAATTAATTATCATCTTTAACGGTACATTCTTGCTATTAGATAATCCCATTCAAGTGAATAATTCCACTTTTTGAAAACTACTTATGGATATACAGACTTTTGGCACTAAAAGGATGGATTTTAGCACCAAATTAGTTTTGGAATTCATAAATGGCCTTAGGAAAGGACAATGAATATACCTTGAAGTAGGATCCAGGAAATGAAGATATAGAAAGAAACGAACCGGCTGATGAACTTGCAAAAAAAGTCAGTGCTACCATAATTCTACTTTATCTAGAATCAAGCACTGCAAAAAAACACTAGGTATTAGGCAATCATAATTCTCCTATTGGAGAGATTACGTAAATGGTCTAATGACCTAAGGAAAACATAACGAAGTTACCGTGAGGTATGTTCTGGGAAATGAAGGTGTAGAAAGGAATGAACAGGTTGACCAACTTGTGAAAAAAGTTCAGCACTACCATTCTTGCACTATACCTAGCATCAAGCACTGCAAAAAAGCAGCAGGTATTAGGCAATCATGATTCTCCTTTTGGAGATAATAGGTAAATGGTCTAATGGCCTGAGGAAAACAACGAAGTTACCTTGAGGTATGTTCTGGGAAATGAAGGTGTAGAAAGGAATGAACAGGTTGACCAACTTGTGAAAAAAAGTTCAGCACTACCATTCTTGCACTATACCTAGCATCAAGCACTGCAAAAAAGCAGCAGGTATTAGGCAATCATGATTCTCCTTTTGGAGATAATAGGTAAATGGTCTAATGGCCTGAGGAAAACAACGAAGTTACCTTGAGGTATGTTCTGGGAAATGAAGGTGTAGAAAGGAATGAACAGGTTGACCAACTTGTGAAAAAAAGTTCAGCACTACCATTCTTGCACTATACCTAGCATCAAGCACTGCAAAAAAGCAGCAGGTATTAGGCAATCATGATTCTCCTTTTGGAGATAATAGGTAAATGGTCTAATGGCCTGAGGAAAACAACGAAGTTACCTTGAGGTATGTTCTGGGAAATGAAGGTGTAGAAAGGAATGAACAGGTTGACCAACTTGTGAAAAAAAGTTCAGCACTACCATTCTTGCACTATACCTAGCATCAAGCACTGCAAAAAAGCAGCAGGTATTAGGCAATCATGATTCTCCTTTTGGAGATAATAGGTAAATGGTCTAATGGCCTGAGGAAAACAACGAAGTTACCTTGAGGTATGTTCTGGGAAATGAAGGTGTAGAAAGGAATGAACAGGTTGACGAACTCGTGAAAAAAAGTTCAGTACTACCATTCCTCTACTATATCTACGTTTGGACAATCGTATAAATTAAAAGCCTGACATGCTTTTCAGCTCCAAACTAGGGGTAAGGTAAGTATAAGGTCTATCTTGCCAAATGGCCGATGGAAAATTCAAGTAGTTACCTTGAGGTTGGTTCCGGGAAATGAAGGTGTAGAAAGGAATTAACAGGCTGGCCAACTCGCCAAAACTGGAACCAAAGCTAATTCACTGGATAGAATGTGAAAGTTGAAACTAGAAAAATGACTCGATAAAGAAAGATTCGAGCACTGGAAAAAAATCACCATGTATGAGGCGATCTAAGAGATAAATAATTATCCTTTTTGAGAGAATCCCTAAATGGTCTAATGGAGGAAAATGTAACGAAATTGCATTGAGGTAGGGAGGTAGGTTCCGGGAAATGAAGGTATAGAATGAAACGAACAGGCTGACTAATGTGCAAAAAAAAAAAAAAAGCAAGTTTAGTCGTACCATTTCTTGAAGAAAAACAAAAACCTCATGTATTAAGTAATCATAATTCTCCTTTTGGAGAGAGTAAGTAAATGGTTAATGGCCTGAAATGAGGGTAGAGAAAAAAACGAACAGACTGACCAACTAGCCAAAAAAGATTAGCCCAACCAATTCTTGAAGAAAAACTCAAGCACTGGAAAAAGGTATGAGGATAATTTTAATAACGGAGATTCACTTTACCCTATAATGTGGTCGTCTGATTCACCTAATTACCATGCCCTTGTAGTTCTGGTTTCCTAAATAGCCTTTGGACTTGAAATTTGGGAATAATTTGGAAAAGATTATTGTAAAGTGGTTTTGACTCTTCGTTTACAACACCCAGTAGGTAGTAGGAGCTTAAACGCTCTGGTATGGCAAGAGTTACTTTAATTTAATAGTGCTAAAAGTTCAGTTGTTGCTCTTTATTCACTGTTCTGAAAGACAATTCAACAATATTCTAATGTTCAATATATTATCTTTTTTTTTTTTTCCAGAGTGGGTTTCTTATGCATGTAATCAGAACTCTATCCACCAGCGAATCAAACGAACAAAGAGAACGGGAAAAGGCCAAACTTGAAAGGGAATACAAGAAGAGCGATCAGCAATTAAACGAGTTGGTCTCACTGCACAAACAAGACCTAACACAAATCATGCAAGTAAGAATTAAAATATATCAAGTTAAACATACAAGTAAGAAAATGTTCAACAATTTGAATTTTATTTTCAGCTTTTTGGAAAGGTTTCTTTAGCGATTATGAGCACAAGGGACAAACTTCATGGAATGAAGGAAACATTGGTAGCCTGTAAAATGTTGTTGAGTTGCAGAAGGGACGAATTGAAAAAATTATGGCTGGAAGGAGTTGAACATAAGCACACGCTGAAACTGTTGGAAGAGATGTAAGGTCCACTTGTCAAAAGTTGTTGACATAATTGGTAATATTTCCTATATTTATGAATGCAGTGAACAATTGAAAGAAGTTCCTATAACGCTGAGCACACATTTAAATAGCAAGGAATATATGAAAGCCACTCAACTTCTAGCGTCTTCTTTGAACATAGGCAATGGAGCCTTGGAAGGCGTCGAAGCGCTTCTTGAAGTTAAAAATGAGCTGCATTATAAAAAAGAGGTCAGTTTCTTGTTTTCATTAAAAAAATACATTTTAAAAATATATTTAAATTTAAATATTTCTGTTTTAGAAACTTTACCAGCAGCTTTTGAGAGAAATATCACACATCGTGTTTGTTGAGCCTACGAATGAATTGAACCATTTCGTAAGAGAAAATGGTTCTATCAGGGGAAAGTCCAATTGGTGCAAGAAGATTTTGGAAATGTCTGAAAAGCAATATAAAAGGTATTGTACATAATAAAATGTACGTTTATGAAAATGTAATTATTTATGCTTTTTGTAGGCATAATGATTCTGGCGAGATTAATCACGAAGATGAATTGGCAGTACTTGTAGAATGTTTAGTTCTTTTGAACAAGTTACCAGAAGCAGCTGAGGTTTGGATTTTAATTTTTCTTTCAATTCAATTGTTTTGTGATCTTAAAACAAAAGTTTAAAAAATTGTGGTGTCTCTCTTGGTGCTTAGTTATCTGAAGACTCGCCTGAATATGTGCCACCTTGTGAACCGACCACGTTAAAATATTACGCTAAGCACTTGTTACCAGGTGAGTTATCAGGTGACTAGGAACCACAGAGACACCTCAGATATAGCCTTAGGCTAAACAGCTTCCTAGGGTATCAAGTAATTTATTTCCATGTTTTCATGAACTGTTCTACACCTTCCTGTATTTCACCCTTGCCCTGACATAGATCCTGATCAGGAACCATAAAAAAAGAAATAATCCAATCAATGCCTGTTTCCCTTCCCTTAAAAGCTTTTAATACATTAGAGGTCCAGCATATGATAAAAACCTTCCCCCCCCCCAAAAAAAAAAAACAATCCTTTTCTTAACATACCTTTATAATGCTGCCCTAAAGATTACTCACTTTCATTTGGAAGTTTTCCATTATAAAGATGATCCCAAAGCCCAATAAGCCAGTTACTTAAACTAGGAAAAATCCTCAAGAACTTTCTGAAAAGAATCTCCTAGATGAACAAAACTTGCAACCTCAACAGTTTAGCTTTTGTAAACACCATCCACAATCCAGCAATGCCACCATGTTATTGAATAGCTATGAATAGCTTTCTGGTACTTAAAAATAACGAAAATGATTTATTTACTTACATTTAACTAAGTGATATAAATTATATGATGCAGCAGTTGCATCCACCACACCCTGAAGGATGTACAGTATTATTTGTGACTTATGCAGTCACTGTGTTAACAAGACCTCCTAGGCGCTTTCCTTCTCCACTCCCCCGTTTCCAACATTCTGAAGCCATCGTAAAAACAAAGTCTTCGTCGGGATCTCTAGATGCCTCTCATAATCCCTCGTGACTACATTTGCTATTTTCCTTTTCTCCTGATCATGGAAAGTAGCTTTTAGTTCTTATTGGAGAAGAAGATGTAGAGCGCGTTGTCGCCGTACTTGGTCTTGGACAGTGGCGCCTTCTCTGACTCAAAATCAGTACTCAGTCGTCCCAAAACCTTCGTCATTGTATTCGGTTCTTTTGTTCACACGTTTTGTATCATGCTTTTTTCTTTGTGTAATAAAGAAGGCTCAGTGAAAACTATTCTTGTTCATTGAATCCCTATAACTCTGCTAACAGGTTATGGGCCCAGAATTATAGTGTCGGAAATAGTTCGTTTGTGTATCTTCGCGTCTCGGAAAGAAACATGAGTGTTACGAACATCACGCGGATAGAACAATTGTCGAAAGACAATTACGACACTTGGAGGATTCAGATGGAGGCGATACTTATCAAGAACGACGCTTGGAATTACGTCATTTACGGCCAACGTTTTTGGCGATTTAAAAAATATCACATTACATGACACACTGCATGTACCTGATTTACGCACTAATCTTCTATCTGTCGGAAAAATAACGGATAAAGGATGTGAAGTCCTGTTTACACGTGACAAGGCAGTTGTATACGGAAACGACGGAAACGCGAAGTTGATTGCTGATCGTGTTGGTGATTTGTATTTTGCACGTGAAAATAGCGATTCGGCATTAAGTATACAATCAAATCAAGACCTGGAACTCTGGCATCGTCGATTTGGACATCTGAATTTTAAAGATTTGACAGAAGCCGTAGACAACAACACGATTTATGGAATAAATCTAATAACATCCGAGCGAAAAAATGTTGCTTGCGACATTTGTGTTAAAGGAAAAATGTCACGTACCCCATTTTCTAAAACAACCGATCGAGACACGAAGATCCTGGACATAGTGCATTCCGACGTGTGCGGACCAATGCGTACTGAATCGCTCCGGAAATGCAGATATTTCGTTGAATTCATAGATGACAGGTCGCGATGGTGCGAAGTCAGATTTTTACGGTGCAAGTCGGAAGTCGTGGAAAAAGCACGCGAAGTTTTTGCACTTATGGAAAACCAGATCGGTACGAAAATCAAATGCATTCAATCAGACAACGGTACTGAGTATATAAATAGGGAATTCGATAATCTACTCAAAACAAAGGGGATCCGCAGAAGGCTGACAGTTCCGCACAACCCTGAACAGAACGGAGTTTGCGAACGAAAGAATCGGACCTTGATGGACATGGCCCGATGCATGTTGATAGAATCTGGCTTGCCGCCATCATTCTGGGCTGAAGCCGTGAACACGGCAAATTACATACGAAATCGATGTCCGTCAAGAAGCCTAGGAGGAAAGACACCGTTCGAATTATGGACCGGAAGGAAGCCGTGTGCCAAACATTTTAGAATATTTGGATCGAAAGTCTTATTCTTGGATAGGAAACCCGGAAAAGGAAAACTGGAGCCAAGAAGCAAGGAAGGCATTTTCGTCGGGTACTCGGACAGCTCGAAAGGATATCGGGTATGGATACCGGATGAAAAGAAGGTAGACATTTTCAGAGATATTAGATTCATGGAAAAAAGTCAGAAAGCTATACAACCTTTGTCCCTTACATCTCTTGACCAAGGAGAAGAAACAAGCAGTCAGGAACCACCAGGAATCGACATCTTGATGGAACCACAGGATGATCGACAGGAAACTGGAAACCAGGAAATTGACCATGCGACAACTCATCAAGAAGCAATCGAAAATAGGGGGCGCGGAAGACCGAAACTGTTGCGGACGGGGAGACCCGGAAGACCAAAAAGGGTATACGGCCGTGCTCGGGATGAAGTCAATAAAACAGAATACGTACTAACATGCGAAATCCCAGTGGAGCGAGCTTTATCAGGTAATGACGCCGACGAATGGCTCGCAGCAATGGCCGACGAAATCAAATCTATCGTAAAAAACGATACATGGGAGATCGTAGATCGTCCGAAGAACGAAAAGGTGATTGGATGCCGCATGGTGCTGAGGAATAAATACAAAGCTGACGGAACATTCGAAAGAAAAAAGGCGAGGCTCGTTGCCAAAGGATATTCTCAACAACCCGGGATTCACTTCAACGAGACATTCGCTCCAGTCACCCGGATAAGCACGATACGTGACATCAAGGAACATTTTATCAGGGACGTCATCAAGAGCGGACTACTAACCACACATCACATTCCCACAGAAGAAATGGTAGCCGACATCCTAACCAAAGGGCTGCCACGACCTAAACATAACACCTGCATTCGAGGGCTGAACATGTTTCAAGACGGCTCAACTCGAGGGGACATATTGGAGAAGAAGATGTAGAGCGCGTTGTCGCCGTACTTGGTCTTGGACAGTGGCGCCTTCTCTGACTCAAAATCAGTACTCAGTCGTCCCAAAACCTTCGTCATTGTATTCGGTTCTTTTGTTCACACGTTTTGTATCATGCTTTTTTCTTTGTGTAATAAAGAAGGCTCAGTGAAAACTATTCTTGTTCATTGAATCCCTATAACTCTGCTAACAGTTCTTCTTTTTGAGATAATTTCTCGTACTTTATTACTGCTCGCTGATAATTCTCTCACTTTCTCATCATACCAGTCATTTCATTCCTGTCTCATACAACTAAATACTTCATGGGCTGTTTTTTAGATAACTGATCTTGTTCTATCTATCTTCTATTCCATCCTTGTTTTCTTTTATATTATTCATTTGCATGTGTATTATTTGCGTATTTGGCATAATTTCAGCCTTCTTCTAATCAAGGTTATAAACCGCAGTGGCTTTTATTTTCCAGAGCATCAAAGGAAATATGCAAGCTGAAATTTTGGGCGTTAATTACAGAGTAGCTAAGGTTACAGTGATGAATTCGATTGAAGGTGTTCACCCTTTGCTCGACCTCTTAGAAACACTGACAGAACAATTGAGAAAAGTCACCGCAAGATTTGCAGCTTTGATTAATTGTTTTCAGCTCTCAGCAAAATCGCACAATATCAATTCAGTGTTGTTCAAACCGTCGGACATATGGAATTCTATTCAAGAAGTGGTACGTCGGGTTTCAGAAAAACTTGCATTCTACAAATTTGATAATTAATGTTATTTTTTAGTTGCAACTTCTCCTCACGGAATATCTTGATATTCAAAATAGTACGAATGAATCTCAACAGACTGCCACTTATCCCGAACCGATAGAGGATATTTCTTCTTATTTTGCTAGAAGACGAATACCAAGGTAAAAATACATCTATAAGTAGTTGTGTCGTTCAACAATTAATAATTTTGTTTATTATTCCAGAACTAGGCAAACACAACTTTTTAAATTTGAATATTCATTACATTTTATAACACAGATGAAGGAACAACCATCTTCCAACCTATCACTTACAGTAAGTATTTTTTTAATATCGAACTATTGTCTCATTTACATTTTTTTAAATTTTATTTAATTAAAATCACTAGCTCAACTATATACAAAGATTTTACATTAGTAACTGTATAGAAAACTATATACAAAGATTTTACATTAGTAAATGTATAGAAATATTTCACATTTAACAATTTCAGACATCAGATTGACAATTGGTTTTATAACAATAATCACTAGAGGAGAAATGGTTACTTAATAAATATCATTGTAATTTAAAATAAATTATTATCACACTATATCACAGAAGATTTTACACTATTTACACATGTCTTGTAGCATACGTGGCTTCAGATGTATTGCCTTTTTTCCTTCTAGTTTGAAGTGGGCAGCATCTGTGACTTACTAATTCCAGAATGAAATTTGTTGAATTGCTCGTGAGTTGTCTATTGTATAGTCAAGGGCTGTTGTTCTGTGTGTATGTGGTTGTTCCTCACATACCACTTGTCATTTATTACCATTCGCGTTATTTTATTTTGAAATACTTGCAGTTGCTTTATTTTAGATGAAGACACTGCTCCCCATATTTTGCAACTATTAAAGACCAGGAGTCTCTTGGTGGATTTGTAAATTAGCTAGCATAGTGAGTTTGGGCCTTATCTTGGACTTGTGGTGTATAATAGAATATAGCATACCCAGACAAGCATATCCTTCAGTCACCCTTTTATTTATGTGGTACTCCCAGGATAGCCTTCTGTCCATATGAACTTCTAAGTACTTGACAGAGCTGTCAGGAGGATTCCATGGGATGTCATTTCGTTCATTTTGTAAGAGTGGTGGGTTGCATGGTCATCGCAATGTAAGGAATTTTGCTTCGCATTTTGAAGAGTTTATCTTCAGTTTCTTTTTATCACAGTAGTTTTATATTTCCTCTAAAACATCCTGAACTGCTTTTTGAGTCTCTAAGATAGTGTGATTGGAGGCAAATAAATCTATGTCATCTGTATACTGCTAAGTTTACACCAATTTAAAAATATTAAACCTTGGTGATTAGTTTGATAGATTTGAAGCTCTTTGCCTTGTTGTTTATTTGGATTACAGATTTCATAGCTCTAGAACTTTGTTTATGACTGTTTACTAAAATGTATTGTGTATCGATACCTAACTACATTGGCATTTGCAGCCTTCTAATTCACTTCTATTCAGCTTACATGTTAAGGTAACCTGCTTCTCTTTTTCCTATCCTATTTCCAGCTTCTCCATACCTCGGATCACGCCAGCCAAGGAAAAATGGCAGCGAGTGGTCAGGGCATCCGACTCGTATTTGTGGCCCTGAGTTCAAATCTCATCAGAGTGCGTTTTTATTTGATAATAGTATGAAAACTGTATTATAAAGTGGTTTGATCCCTCATCTGCAACACCCAATGGGTAGTTGGACATTAAGTGCTCCTGTATGAAAGGAATTACTTAACTATTTAATAAACCCAAAATACTTTATACATATAATAAAAATATATATTGTAAGATTTCCTAATAAATTAAATTCACTCAGTACAATGATATATAAGAACTGTTTTTCTGTTAAAGCTAATATATACAGTCTTACAACGCATGTCTCATTCATTTACGGATGAGTACTAGTTTTATTGAAACATGGATATGTTTGTGGGCTGGAAATTTTTTTGTGCTGTCATTTTGACATCATATCAATTTTGTGTTACCAGCGAGTGCACATGGGTTGGTTTAGGATTAAGGTAGTTTAAAATATGGTTAGATATAATTAGATTAGGTTAGAGTAGGTAGGGTTAGTGTTTGTGATGGGTTTTATTAGGGTAAGACTTAGTGTTATTACAGGGAAAGGTTAAGTAGGATTAGCTTAGATTAGGTAGGGTAGTGTATACTTAGGTTATGGCAGGTAGGGTTAGGGTACCTATCTAAATAACATCAGATTAGGGTTAGGATTGATGTTAGGGATAGGTTATTATGTGTTCTACAGTGATAATTTCTATATACAATGGGCAGTGGTCTCATCTTTGATAGGAGGTGCCTATGTGTGATCCTGGATGACCTTTCCCTCCTAATCCCAGCCTCTGCAATCAAAGGACTTACTTTTAAGTTAAGATAATTTTAATATACAGTATAAATAGTTCAAATTGATTGGGACTGAGCCCTGTTCGGATTATCCGAAGAATAATCCAGAAGGAAGCAATAGAACATTTCAAGATCTGAAAAATAAATTTCAAATTGTTGAAAAATCAGGATAAAGTTGATAGTTCATTAAGTCGTGTTGAAGCATTTTGGTCTGCCAATTCTGATTTTGGCCAAGTTTTGGCTTGTCAGACATGTTTCTCCTCGCAATTTTTAATATTTAAGTTAAAACCGACCTCTGAAGATTTCGACAAGCATCTGACATTTGGTAGGGTTCAGTCTCACAATTAAACGAAACTGCAATAACTGACCATCAAAAAATTTAAATTGACCTCCAATATACCAATTTTTTTCTTTCCACACCAATTTTTTTTTTAAATATATTATTCCCACTAAAATCGATCCCTTTCAGTTGTTCATGTATCTTTCTGATAATGGGTCTGTGGAGGTGCTCTTTTCCTTAGCTCTTGGATTTTGCTTATTATCAATGTATTTTTTTTTCAACTATCCTAACAATCTTACTTGTGTGGGAGTTGGTAGCTCCTTGTTGTTGTACAAGAAAGTACAAAACTGAAAATAATGACATTAATGGCATTGTTTTTGTCTAGTCTTTTTCAGAAATTAAGAAGAAGGACAAAGTTCTGGTTTGCTCGCCAGACCCAATGAATATCACAATAATATTCACCTCTCTACAAAAATTTATCGAAGAAATCGAACAAGCTGTTGGTACCGAAGCCGGGTCAGTTAACTAACCAAAACAATTTTTGTAATAAAGAAAATATCAATAAAAAATAATCCTTTTAAATTGCCAGGGTCCCTTGCAAGTTGAATAGGTTTGTAAATGATTACGTCCGTGAAGTTTTTATTAGTAGAGAACACCAAAGGATATTATTGAAAATTGAAAGTGCTACAAAATCCTCAGATGCCTGGCGGACACCGACCTCGTCACAGGATACTGTTGACATGGCACTCGTCAGACCACTACTACAAGTATGTATAATGAACCACCTGTCGAGAAAATAGTAATTTTTTTGTTTCAATTTCAGAGCACAGTCCAAGTAAGCAATGCCATGAAAGAATTAGAAACACTTCTCGAAAACTTGCCATTACACAAGGAAGAAGTTTTGGAAATACTTGTCAGTTTAATAAAAGGGTACACTGAAACTTGCTATGCTGCTTACAGAGGTATGGTTCAGCCTGAGCCAGAAGATAAAAGACTATGCAGTGTATCATGGTTGAAAGATGAGGACATTAGCAGGTTTTTAAAGTAAGAATCTATCCAAATTATTTATAGAGTAAAAAATTACTGCTTTAAGCTTAATCTTTATATTTTGAATGATTGTATTATAAATTTATAGTTTATTGAATGCAATGTCATTAAGCCAATTACCATCTCGGCAAGCTACTCGATTTTCTAACACTGTAACTCCTTCAAATTTGATTTAAATATATTTTCTACTTAACTTTTTACATTTTTTGATATTTGAAACATTTTCCCCTTAATCTTCATCCTACTTTTGTAACATAATCAACTCTGTTGTTGGTGAGATTTTAAAATAATTTTATGGTCAGCATAAATTTTGGTTATATGTGTGCAAGGCTTAAGGTTAGGATTATGGTATTTTAAATATGATTAGCTAGAATTACATTAAGTTAGAGTAGGTGGGGTTAGATTTTATTCTAGGATTAGTGTTTGTGATAGGTTTGATTAGGGTTAGTATCAGTGTTAGTGACAGATTAAATGAGAGAGAGTAAGAATTAGTGTTATTTCAGCTACGGGTTAGGTAGGATTAGCTTAGTTTATGTAGGGTATTATAGAGATAGGTTATGGCAGTTAGGGTAGGGTACCTACCTAACAAACATTAGGTTAGGGTTGGGATTTGTGTTAGGGATGGGTTAGGTTAGGTGGGAAGGGTTAGATTTTCATTAGGTTAGTGTTAGGATTAGTGTTTGTGAAGGGTTAGGTTGGTGTTAGTGTCTGTGTTAGAGACAGGTTAAGTAGGGTTAGGTTATGGCAGGTACAGTTAAAGTTACATTAGAGGGTTGAGATTAGTTGTAGGTTAGGTAGGGTTAAGTGTATGATTCAATATACTGACTTAAAAGGCTTAATTTAGTAAATATAAAAGTTAGAAACAATTAATTTTTAATTTTTTTGGTTTGCCCCTTAAATTTTGCATTGGTTTTTCTTAACTGTTTTGATATTTTGATTCAGATCATTACCAAACTGGCTTGATTTGCAAGCTCAGAAGCCTCTCCAGAGAACTGGCCGACCTTTAAAAAGAGAAGATACAGGTGAAGAAGAGAGCCCCGAAGAAGTCAGACAAAGAAATATAAAAGAAGCTGAAATTCTTATGGCGAATTTAGCAGAAGGTGGGATTGGACCTCATGAAATTATATCAGACCCATTCCAATTAAAATGCCTGTCGCTGCTCCAGGAAAGCATGGTTAGTAAATTTTGAGATGGTCATTTGTCTATTGGTATGACAAGAGCAAGTACTGTAAAATCTTTGGCATTCTTTTAAATCTCCCTGTACAAAATAAAATCATTTCATACAAAAATGTAAACCTTATTTCACGTTCCAATATTTTTGTAGGTATATTTTCCTTTCCTTTTCGTATAAATGTTCCAAATAATGGTTAATTTTTTTACAGGATTGGTTTGCTTGGAGAGTTCTACAGATAAATGGGCGATTGAAAAAGGCCATGGGCAATGCTAATGACAATAATACAAATACATTAGCACTATTCACATCTTCTTTGAATAACCTGTCTCATGAATTTGAAGAACTTGCCAACACATGTTTGTTAATGTTGCATTTAGAGGTATTTTCATTAATCAAATCATTTATTTTCGTTTTAGCATGTAAGCATAACAGACAAAATTAATTCTTTGTAGATACGAGTTCAGTGTTTCCATTACCTATTACCTAGAAATTGGCATTCTAGCAAAATGAATGGGACCTCTCAAGATCCAGATCCTCGGGTCCTCGATCTCAGCCGTGTTCTAGTCTCAATCGATGAAGCATTGTCTTCCTGTCTTCAGTCTAGAAAAATAAAAGTAGGAATTTATTTATTTTTTAAAATTATTATTGAATTTATAAAGGTTTAATTTCTTTATCGACATATTTATATTGTTTTTAGTACATATTTGAAGGGCTTGGACATCTGATAGCTAAGATCATAATGAGCGCTACCCAATATATGGACACAATAGATGAAGGAGCTATTCACAAAATGTGTAGAAACATATTTACGCTCCAGCAAACCTTAAGCAATATCACCATGACCAGAGATTTAGCTTTAGACCACGCAAGAAGATATTTCCAGTTGTTTTTCCTATCTCCAGAGGTATTTTTAAATTTGGTGTAAAAACCCAAAGTACACATAAGTGCTAGCGCGCGCGCGCGCGCGCGCACACACACACACACACACACACACACACACACACACACACACACACACACACACACACAGAAAACCGATATGTATAATTATAACACTGTAACAGATGGCTTGTTCTAACTAAACTTCTAAACTTGACTCACTTATTTTTACAATTACAAATACCCTAATCCTAACCTAATCCTAACCAAACCCTACATAACCTAACTACTTCTATCTTTTTAAAAATATAGTTCCTACTCACAGTGAGTTGTTTTATTTATACCATCCAGATTTCGAGCTTATAGGTCATCATCAGGTTAAAGGAGTTCTACAACCTCGTCTCTCGACATATCGCAAGACTAGAATTTTTAAGGCTGAGTAACCGGTCTTGCAATCCATTCGAGAGATGTGGTTGTTGAACTCCAGAAAACATCTTACTGTGAGTAGGAACTTTCTTTTGAAAAAGATTGGACAACACAGTCACTCCACCATTTATCATTTCTATTAACTACTTCTAACCTGATTTACCTAACCCAACCCCACCCATTCGCACTCCCTGGTAATGTGAAATCAATCATACAAAAAATATGTGCAAATAGTGTTAAAACATATTCATGTTAAAATAAAAAGCCTATTTTAATATAAATAAGATTAACAACATTAATTGTGTTCATAGACCAGTCAAATTTGAATATTAAATTTATGGTGTTACTCAGCTGTAAAAATCCTAACATAACCTAACTGCCCTCAACCTTAATCTCACATTAAATAACCTAACCATTTCTAATCTGACTTAACCTAATCCAACTCATGTACACATGTGCATGAGAAATTAATGACATGAAAATGGTCACTCAAAAATATTTGTGAAGCCAGTGTAAAACATATTGATATTAAAATGCAAAACCACTTTTAATGGAAATAAGGTTAACAACATTAATTGTGTTTGAAGACCAGTCAAATTTGACAAGTAAATCTGTTATGTTATTCAGCTTTAAAGATCTTAAACAACCTACCCTTTCTCCATCCCTAATCTACCCCTAACCATTTCTAACCTGACTTTACCTACAGCAATCCAACTCATGTGCATTTCTCTTTAATAAGAAATCGGTAACACAGAAATGGTTGTATAAAAAAATTTATGCAAGCGTAAAATATATATTAAAATAAATAAAAAAAACTCTAGGCTAACAACATTAATTGTGTTTGAAGCTCAGTCAAATTTGAATAGTAAATCTGTGGTGTTATTTAGCCTTAAAGAGCCTAATCCAACCTAACTCGTCTCCATCCATAACCTAACCCTACATAACCTAATCATTTCTAACCTAACTTACCCTACCTAATGAAATCCAACCCACCCCATCCTACCATTACCTAACCTCGCCCATTCACACTCTCTGGTAACGAGAAATCATTGACACAGAATAGACACAAAAAATTTGTGCAACCAGCATAAAAACATATTTATGTAAAAAATAAAAAAAAAAAAAAAAACCTTTTAATTGAATAAGATCGTCTTCAAAGACCAGTCTGGTTTGGTAGTATATCTGTGGTGTTCTTCAGTTTTAAAGAACCTAAACTGACCTAACCCATACCCTAACCTAACCCAACTCAAAACACTTGTTGACAGTGTTTACACATTAAAACATTAAATTTGATTTAGTATTATTTAGCAATAATACTAAATCAAATTTAATAAATCTTATCAAAATTTAACCCATCTCTAACCCTAACCAAAATGAATGAAACCTAACCCAACCCATGTGCACTCTCTAGTAATGAGACACAAAAATGGTCATGCAAAAAAATTGTGTATCCATTTTAAAATAAAAACCCTATTTTAGTGGAAATAAAACAACATTAATTGTTTTTGAAGCCCTGTCAGTTTGAATAGTAAATGCATGGTGTTAATCAGTTGTAAATAAGTTAATAAATCAGTTACGAAATGTATCAAAAAAATTTGTTATAGGAAATCTTGAATGAAGTCCTGGAGAAAGGGCCAGTTTACACAAAAACGGAATACACCAACGCTTTTCATCTCATATGCCGGACGTACACAGATTCTGAGGATCAGAATTCATTACAGAGGCACTTACAGAGGCTCTCTGATATATTAGGGGAAGCAGGAGTAACCGTATAGAATGTCAGGAATGATGTCAAAGACTAGTTTGAACATATTGTGATGAGAGGAAGAGAAATTTTGGACTAACAATAATGTTTTACAAGGTGTTATGTTGTAAGGATTTACCAGCTGATTTATAAGTTGGTTACATTTGCCGATTTATAAGTTGGTTACATTTTTTTCAGCTAGAAGAGTACCATCTCTCTAATTTTTTTTAAAAAATTGTGCAAATTTTGTCATGTAAATCTTTACAACAGTATTTGTTGTCCTGAATTGATCTCCTGTTCTATTTCCTAAAAGAAAGAAACATATAAATGAAATAAGCAACTATTTTTGTACCAAAATAATATTTATATAAGTGTTAATGTAACAAATTAATTAAAGTAATATCCAGAATAAAACTTAGCGTGATAAGTGAGCTGGTGATGCACTGCTATAGTTTATTGTTATTATTTTAATTTTATTGTATTGTATTATAACCAATTGATCCAAGTCTGATATTCATCGTCTAAGGAATTTAAATTTATGTAATCAAAATCGATAATTGATAATTGGGATTATATACACACTCTTACTAGTCTTGGCCGAAGCTGTGTATAAACAGTATTAATTTATTTTATTAAACAATTTAATTTATTCTGTGAATTAGCACCTTGCAATTTTTGATACACTTTATTTTAGGATTCTTTTCTAAATAACAGTTGGTTTTCGATTTTCATTTTAGACACATGATTTTTCACGTTGTTTACATAGGTAAAAAAATTTTCGAAAAAATTAGAAGTTGTTTTATGAAGAATTTAAACTTCCTTTTCTTTAACAAAAAAATGTTCAGACTTGGATTTTAAATATATATTTAAATTGGTTTATATCTTTTATTATGTTTGTAATGGAATGTATTTAATTTATTATTCAATATATGCCCTGATTTAATGTCATGATGGCACAGTTGTTTAATTGTATAATTTGAGTTTTGCAAATTCTCTTCTTTTCCTTTTTTTTAGAACTTTTATATAAACCAATTTTTATAATAGTAAATATCATGTGATTTATCTAAGCAGTTTGTCTTCCATTGTAACATAAAAATAAATATTTAAATGAAAAGAGATAACGGATAATTAAAATGTCTGACATGAAAACAATATCATCTGTTGAGTTTATTTATCATAGTTGTGACACAGTATATTCTTACTTTGTGAAGCTCCTCAAAAACCCAATTTTGAATCTCGTTTCTAACTTCATTCATCTGATCTAGTATTATCATTTAAGTTTCTTCAATTTGTTTGGTATCCAGGCTGTTCAAAATGTGATAGTTTAACAATCTTGGATCAGTTGTAGAAATTCTTGTTTTAAATATAGTCATTGAATTAGTTAACTTTTATGATTGATTTTCACTTTTCACCTTATCTGTGTAAACAATTACAATCATTTTAATTATAATTAATTTTTTTTGTTATTATTAAAAATATTGTTTAACAGCAAGTTTATGTAAAGTTCAAGTCAGTGTCATGAAGATTGTGTTCAGGCTAATAAGAGAAGTATATCTTTTTTAGTGATAAATTTTGTAAATATAGTATTTAAAAATATAATTTAATGTTATCCATTACTGCCTTTGATTTAAACTAAATGTTTAAATGTATATATGTTTAATATTTATTGGTTATTTATTTGTTGTGTATGTTGCACCTTTTTTTAAAATTATTAATAAATATATTTGTTACTTCGCTTGTTATTAACCAATATCGTTTGTTCAAAGCGAGACAAAAATAAATACATGCTTTGCATGAAAGGCCTTCAAAGAGTTCACATACTGAAATGCATTGTTATACTTTGCGAATATATGGATTGTATATGGATTTTCAAAGTTCACTCAACCAGAGTTCCAATTTTTGATTTATTTTAGCCCTGAACCTAAGTGTAATTAGTCTTTGTTTTGTTATATGTTTGTCTTGCACGTGTAATTCACTTATTAGAGTACCATCACTGAGGTTAGTTGACATACAGAGTAAAACATTGTTTTTTATAAGGAAATAAGTGATGTTCAGTATATAATTAACATTTTCCTTCTCCAGGGGGCTGAATGACCTGACTGTCAATAGCCCAGGTTGTACAACCAAGGTCCACCATCTAACTAGAAGTTAAATGTCAATAAATGTATTTATTTTGATATGGCAAAGAGTTGCATGTGTCCATAAAACAGATGGACATATTTACTATATTATGATCAAAATATATACATAATACAAAGTAAAAATACTCAATTATGGAGATTAAACTAAAGGGGCAAATAACATTTCCATCCCAAGTTGTAAATAGAAATCAAGAGATGTGAGTATTTAGAATGATAGTGTTATTTAGTTAATCTTTAATGGAATAAAACAAATAGAATAACATTGAAAACTCATGCTTCCCTTACCTATACCCCTACCTAACCTAATCTAGCCTGTCTCTGATCCTAACCTTAAACCCACATAGCCCAACGCTACTTAACCTAATTAGGCCCTACTTAACATATGTAACCTGTTCCTAACCTTATGAAAACCCATTTCTAACTTTAACCCTACCTAACACACTTTACCCATTTCCAAACCAAATCTAGCCCAAAATCTAACATAACATAAATAACCCATTCCTAACTTTACATAACCTAATCTAACCTATCCCTAATCTTAACCTTAACCTACTGAGTCCCTAATAATGGCTTATCTAATTTAGCCCATCCCTGACCTTAGACCTACCAAGCACACAAAACCAGTCTCCAACCCAGTCTAACCTAATCCAGCATTAAATCCCTACCTAACATAATAACCCAGTCCCTAATCTAATCTAGCCTTTCCTAACCTACCTGACATGCATAACGTGTTCCCACCCCTACTTAAGCCAGCCCCTCCCTTAATCCTACATAATATACATATTAAATCCCTAACATACATAACCTGTTCCCTAACCTAATCTAGCATGCCCCTATCACTACTGATTACAAACTAACTCTTCCAACATAACCTAACTTCAGCTAACAAGTTCAACGAGTATGTGTTTTTAACTTGATCCTTTTCTAAGGCAGTATTCCAAGCTGAGATCCATGCAATAAAACTCTTTACAGATTCTCAGATATATAAGCAGCACTGAAGCCTTTATCCTCATTTCCCCTCCAACTCAAATCTGGGACAAAATCAGGCAATTGTGATGTGGGTATTGGGAATGAGGGGATGGAAGACAGTGAACAGGCTGACAAATTAGCATAAACAGGCTTCATACCCATTGGACCAAAAAATCAGCACACCCCGAAGTATGTTAAAAGCTGAACTGTAACAGCAGAAACATTTCTGCATATTCTATGTGATTGCAAATCATTATTCTGGAAACGGTCAGCATCTTCGAAAAGGCACTAATAACCAGGGAAGTTAGCGAAAAGAAACCTAGAAAGTAATTTGATCCCTGCAGATCATCTTGGTCGGCCTATCCTCGAGGTAAGGATGAAATTAACTATTCATTGCACTGCAGACCTCAGGTTTAAAAATAAAAATGGCCAATTCACAACAGATCTTTTAGTAGAAGCAATCTTTTTTAGCAGTAGAAGAAAGGGAGACTACAGTCGACAGTGACCCCAGGGAGACAATTAGCAGATTGAAAGTTTACAAAAGGTTGAGGACACCTCCTTAGCTAGTCGTTCAGACTCTTCGTTACCTTTTAGGTGTTCCCTGGGACCCATACTTATGCATCACCGTTTGTGATTTTCCGTCAGGGGGGGACAAGGTTTTTGATAACAGCTTAGCTGTCAGAATCGATGGCAATCTGTTCTTTTTGTCAACCTTTTTATCTATTTTGTGCAAACCTTGCTACCGTTTCTCCTAGAAATTCTTTGGCAATTATATCTTTAATTTCCTACTATAAAAATTTGTCCCCAGTGGACTGTTTGCTTTTTGAGCCTTTGAACTAAATATGATGCTAAAGGGATATAGGAAACCACTTCTGCGAAATAATCAGTGTTATTATTTGTAAGTTAAAAATTTTATGCTGGACTATGTTGTCTTAGGGACACAGACAAGGATCCTGCGAGGGAGCAATAAATTGACAAAGAGCGATCGATATTTTCCCCAGACAGTTTTTCATTACCGAGTCGTGCAATGCATGAAAATCGCAATAAATTTCCTCAGGGGGTCGAGTTGTCGTACCGCCCAAATCTATCGTGGGTGCCCTTTTCGGGCAAAGTCGGGGAACTTAAACGGGAAACGTGCCAATATAAGGGACGAACGATAAGCCGTAACTAAAAATGACGACACGAACTATGCCTATCGATATTAATTTTGCACAGAATAAATTAACATGTTCTATAATTTAATTTTTGCTTGTCAATGTATAATAATTAAAATGTTGACATTAAAAGGAAGCACACAAGAGGAATGTGACCATTTAACTCAAATCATATCAAATACTTCCATGTTAGCTCTATAGTCATATCATATGCTTCAAACGTCAAGCAGTATAGATCGAAAATATTTTTTTGACAAAGATGGCCAGTATTGACAAAACAATTCTTTCCAATCAGAATTTCAGTACCAAGTTAACTAGGATTAAATTGTTCGATTAAATGTAATAAATCAAAGAAAATAAATGGCTTTTTAATCTTTCTAGCATAGATGAAATTATTACCGAAAGTGACATCGAAAAATTATACCACATCAGTGAGAATTAGAACAATTGAAACTACTAAGAAATCTAGATTTGTGAGTATTTAGGACAAAAACAATGATTTTCTTTAATTTTTAATAGAATAAAACGAATATCTAAACTAACCTTAACAAATTTATAACCTTAATCCTACCTAACCTAAACCGTCCCTAATCCTAACTATACCTATATAACCTAACCCTACTTAACATAACCTAACTTTAGCGTACTACAGTACTTAATGTTTTAAGGTAAAAATCGTACCTTATCGCTGTCGTGTGAACCTGTCCTCAGAGTTAGGGTTAGTTTAGGTAGGGTTCAGGTTATGGCTAGGATAAGTTAATCCATTTAGTTATGAGCATTAGTTGGATTAAGGTTATGTTAAGTAGGGTAGGATCGGGCTAGATTCGGTTAGGTAAGGTTAAGGTTAGGAATGTGCACGCTAAACAAGTACCTTGAGGTATACTTTTTAACTCCATCTTTTTCTAAGTCAGTATTCGAAGCTGAGAACTCTGAACATAAAAGATACTTAAAAATGGATTACTTAAGCCTAAACATAACCTTAACCTTTAGGCCAGGTTCACACCAGCGGTACAAGGTAGAAGTGCCCGATTTTTATCTAAATTATGTAATAATTGTAATAAATACCACGTATTTACAGAGATGCAAGCCAGATAAAAGACGTCCTTTTACAAAAATATATACAAATAATGCGAAAATACTCAACTATGGAGATTAAATTTAAAGTGGCATTTAAAATTCTTCGGCGCCAACTTGTAAATAAAAATCAAGAGATCTAAGTATTTAGAATAATAATGTTACTTTTATTTAATCTGTAATGGAATAAAACGAATAGAAAACTTGGAAAACTCGCGCTTACCTAATACTACCTCACGTAACCTCACACATTCCTAACCTTAACCTTACCTAACCGAATCTAGCCCGATCCTACCCTACTTAACATAACCTTAATCCAACTAATGCTCATAACTAAATGGATTAACTTAGCCTAACCATAACCTGAACCCTACCTAAACTAACCCTAACTCTGAGGACAGGTTCACACCACAGCAATAAGGTACACGATTTTTATCTTAAAGCAAGTTAGGCTGAAAAACTGAAATTAAAACATAAACTTTAATCTGAGTCTTACAGCCTCATTGAAAACTTATATAAAAATTCCAATCTCTTACAGAGATTTAAGCCTGATAAGGCTATACAAAGACTCCAGTTACGAAACTAAAGGGCCAATTAAAAATCATCGGTGCCAAGTCGTAAGGACAAGAGGATGATCAAAGATTTTCAAAGAGAATTTAAAAGTGGAAAGGGATGAGTCCCAGCGGATTGAACGAGGAAGAGATTTCCATATGTTGGAGACACGGGTGAGGATGGAACGACTGATTGTATTAGGTTTTTGTTTATGGGGAAAGAGATCAGAAGGTAAGATATCATTTGATAGAAGAATAAGCCAAGGAAGCTTGCGGAAGGAAGGGTATAACCACCTCAAGTCAGAGTACAGTCAGTCATATGATATGTCCTTGAGAAGCCGAAAGCGATTCATTAGACGTTTAAACTTATTTTCAAGCTCACCAGTGAGTACATGACATCCGTAACCAAAGCGGGGGAGAATTATGGAGGAAAGAAAGAGTTTCTGGGTACTAAGCGAAGGTAGCTGTCTCGAGCGAACTGATGGAGGATGGAAAAGCAGGGAAATCATGAAGCATGGCTGCTTCGAGGACTGATCATGTACAATCCCGAGTTTTCAGAGGACAGAAAGTAAATGTAAAGCACTGGATCCAGGCACAATAGCCTTGGGTCTTTTCTTTGTTCAAATTAAGCTTATGTTCAGAGTCCCAGGAATTAATTGATTTTAACTCCTCCCTAACTTTTACAATTATTCATTCTACTTCATAACCATTAAGGTACGTACTTAACATATGAGGCATAACTGGAGGAATTTCGTGTAATGGAGGATGAAATTATTGTGATCTACGGAGAAGCCATCAGTTGAAAATTACAGGGAAACAGAAGAATATTCAAGAAATCAAATAGAAATTCGCCTTGTTGAGGTTGTGGTGTTCGTCTTTTTAGGACTTGATTGCTTATTAATGTTGCAAATGATTCTCTTTTTTTGTATTAACTATTTGTATTAATAAACATCTTATGCTAATGACATGTAACACAATAATGTGGAGCATGCTGAGATTAAAAGAAATAAAAAAGTATACTCTTCTTTAACTCTAAACTTAACCCTACCTAACCTAACTTGTCCCTAACCCTAACGTTAACGCTACTACGATAGATAAAACTTAACGCTATCTACCTTAACTACCTCGTTGATAATTTTAACTTTATCCCTACTTATATAACCTAGCCTGTTCCTAACCTAAAAAATTAAAATGTAAATTTTTTTAAACTCTTCGTTTTCATATCAGCTGCACTGCTAAAATTTGAAAAAGACACATTTATAAATAAGCAGGAGATTTACTTACTACCTACTACTATTTTTTAAACGTGGCCGCCTGGCTGACACGTTTAAACATTAAAAAATATTGTCATCTATTTATTACTTTTTGGCTTTAAAAAAAATTCAACGACTTTCATTGGTGATTTTTTAAAAATTCACCAACTTATTTTCTGAAGTGCTAAGTCAGTTTAAGATGACGAATCGGTTGAGCTCACCAGGTCTGGCTTTTGTTTGCAAAATATTATGTTATTATGATGCTATATTATGTTCGCTGGTGGAGGGGGAGTGGAAAGTAAGACATTTAATATGGCAAGGCGTTCGTCTAGCACCGGTTCCTCTCAACTGTTGCTATTCAGCGCGTTTGCCGGCAAAAAATCGCTCCTTAAGCACTGCGCTTTATTTAAACTTTTTGATTAATTAATTAACGATGGTCCGGACTTTATTTTGTTTTAGAGACTTGTCTTTATTAACGTTAAAAACGGCTTCCTTCTTCAATTTTTTTACGTTTCACTTCATCTTTTTTTCTTTTACTTTGACCTTATTTTTCACCAAGTGTTCTCATAATGAACAGGACACTTAATTGGTGGATTAGGATTCTAAAAATGAGAAACTGCCCTTTACCAAACGTTCATTTAATTACAATTTTATGTGGATAGATTTTTCCTTAGCCAGAAAAGCACCAGATGGGTCGTGACCGAAATTGCAAAATATCTTGGACTAATTGGGTTCGAAGCCTGTGTCATATTTTGTCAATCCTGTTATTCCTAAGAGTGATAGGGAGGATATCCTCGAGAAATGTAAATTTCAGATAGATATATTAACAAGATATTAAGATTATTAAGATGTATTAATTCTTTATATAATCCATTATTCAGTAGTATCCTGGTATCTTGTGAGAAGTATTTGACCTTATGTTTCTACAGGAAAAAAAATTGTATATCTCTTTCTTGTTTTACGTAACTCAAATTTATTATTGATGGGCAATTCCTGCAAAATAAATGCCCAAGAGTGGAGCGAGACTTACGGACAAAATATTTTGAAAGTCTGTTGTGTTGCGTAAGGTACGATTTTTTGGTCAAATTAACCAGTTTCCCGTCTAATTAACCTTTTTTAATTTCAAATTAACATTTTTAAATTTCAAATTAACCTTTTCTTTAAAGCATTAAAAACATAAGAGATGGTATGATACATTCTCTTATTCTTACTCTTTGTCTTTCTCACACGCTTTCTCTCTCTTTCTTCCCCTCTCTCACTCTCTCTCTGTGTTCCTCTCTCTGTTTCTTTCACACTCATTTATTCTCTCCTTTCTTATTCCCTTTTTACATCTCTCTCTTTTCAACCCTTTCCCCACTCTTTCCCTCTTTCTCTTACTCTCCTTCTCTTTTTTTTTTGCACTCTCTCTCTCTATCTCTCTCTCCCTCCCTCACACCCTCTCTCTCTCTCTCTCTACCTCTCTCGCTACTCTTTCTCTCTCCGTATCTTTCTCGTTCACTCTCTTTCTTTCGCATTCACACAACCTTTCATTTCTTATTCCCTTTTTATGTCTTTATGTTTCTCACTCCTTTTCATTTTTTCTCTTTTTCTCATTCTTTTCTTCTCTTTATTTTTACTTCGCTATCTCTGTCTGTCTGTCTCTCTCTCTCTCACTCTATCTTTCTCTCTCTCTTTCCCTCTCTCTGTATTTTTCTCATTCACTCTCCTGCATTATCACTCACTCATTTGCTCCCTTTTTATTCCCTTTTTATATATCATTCTTTCTAACTTTTTCTCTCATTGTCTTAGTCTCATTCTCACTCTTTTCTCTTTCTACTACTGTTTCTCTTTCTCTTGCTCACTCTCTCTCTCTTCCTCGATTTGTAACTTTCCTATTCATTCTTTACTTTCTCACTCACTCTTTCTCTTCTTTCTTATTCCTTTTTAAATCTCTCTCTTTCTCACTCTTTCTCTCTATCTTATTCTCATTCTATTTTTTCTTCTCTCCCTCTTTCTATATTTTTTCTCTTGCAAACTCGCACTCTCTGTCTTTCTTATCCTTTCCTTTCTCTCTCTTTCTCTCTCTCTCTCTCTCTCTCTCTCACTTTTTCGCTATGTCTCTGTTTCTTTTTGTCTTACTCTTCTTCTCTTTTTCTCTCTCTCTTTTTCTTCTTTTTTTCTCTCTTTTACACACCCTATCTCTCCCTCTCTCACTCTCTTTTGTGCTCTTTCTCTTTCTTTCTCTCTCGGTCTCTTTCTCATTCAGTCTACTTCTCTCTCACTCTCTCCTATAAATTCTCTAAACTTTAAATAAATAATACATGCATAAATATAATATTGTAAAGGGCTAACTGTTCGTTTATAAAAAAATGATTATTTTTATAGTGAAGGGAATAATAGAGATTCTTCTAGCCGAATCAATTAGGTTGAGATGTTTTATCGGGAGATTTTTAGAAAAATCGACCGAGGTTGCTCACCCCCTGGGGCGAGGGTTGAATTTAAAAACGACCAAGTGGCCCGAACAGAAAGCACTTCTCCATTCAACAGCTCTACCTTTCGAGACAGAAAAATGGAAAAAGGATTATCCGTAATTTTCCGTATTTGATTAATTGGCAGGGAAAAAGGAAAAATGAAGGGCGGCGAGCGGGGGCGGTGGAGGGGCGGCTCGGTGGCGCTCTGGGTGGCGGCGTTGCCCGAGCCGTGCCGCTTCCTCAAACGGCTCTCGACGGCGCCCTCGACAAAGTCAGTCCAGGCCCGTTCTTCATCCCAACCGCATTCTCATCCGCTCCCGTCAAACAGGAATCATCATTTAAACGTACGTTTTTTTAAATTTATTTTATACTTTTTATTTTTTATTTGTATTATTATTTTTCCCATGCTTGTGATGTATTTATTGACTCGGTACATCATGCACATACTATCGCAGGACAGCGTTTTATATGTAAATAATAAATTTCTATGATTTTTTTCAATATTTATTAATGGATGTATATTTAAAGTTGATGTATTTATTAAAGACTGCCTTCGGGTAGTTTATCGTTCCCGTGGTTTTTATTATTGTAACTTAGAGATAAACATTTTATGGTGCGGATAGGAAAGAGAATAAAAAAAAGGGCGAAATGCCAGAATGGTTGAGAATTATACAATAGGTAGCGAAGTCGAGGCAGATAAGAGTTATCAAGCGCACGCGGTTCCACGGGCCGGCGGCATCCCTCGCGGGCGGCCCTCTCGCCCCCAGGTGGTTTATTTCGCAAATTGCTTTTTTTCCCCCCTTTTGCCTTACTTGAGCCATGATGATTTTTATGCCTTTTTTATTGGAAATTGACGCGACGGCGTTTTTTTTTCTTCTGATTATAAATGCGTTTGTTTTTGTTTAATTTGAACTTTTTTATGAATAAAATATAAAGGGATGATTTCTCTCTATTGATATACCTTAGTTTGCTCTTTCTAGGCAATATAAATAAATTTTGATACCTATGACGGCCTAGAGTTGTATGGTCGTTTATCAAAATTTCTGTCTCCAGATTCTTATATCGGATGTATCAAAAGTTACAAACATTCAAAACCGCTTTCGATAAAGTAGATAAAAAAGTGCGTTTGGACAAACCAATTGAAATTCGTTTTAACCACCCTATAAAGCCTTTAAATGCGAATTTCATAGGAAACAGAAATAAAGGTTTTTTTGCAGGACAGGATCAAGGCCAATGCAATTTTTGTTTGTTTGGTGACAGATGTTTCCACTTACAAATTCATAATTTATCTGAATTTTAACCAAATTCAACATTAATACAACCGTTTGAAACAGAAATATTTCCATTTTTCAGGCCAAGAAGATTTTATGTCGTTACAAATGCATTATATGCAATTAATTTTTGTTTAATAGGTGCTAAACATGAAATACATACGGAAGTTGTTAAGGGCAGAATTGTATTAAATTTTATTAAATATTTAAAAAGTTAAAAAATTCTAATTAATTTACCACCCTATAAAGTCTTTAAATGCGAATTTTATAGGAATCAAAAATAGGGGTTTGTTGGTTGGACTGGATCAAGCCCAATGCAATTTTTGTTTCTTTCATGTCCGGTGTTTCCACTTACAAATTCATAACTCATATGAATTTTAACCAAATTCGACATTAGTACAACCTTCCAATTAATTAATCATTTTATGTAAGGTTGATATGAAAAAGTTAGTGTCACGAGCGGAATTTGAACCCACGACCTGCGGCTCCTGAACCCCGCTCGTGACACTAACTTTTTCATTTCAACCAATACCTTACAAAAAAAGATTAATTAATTGAAAGAAGTTATTTGGTCAATCGGACCACGAAATATAATGGAATTAATACAACCGTTTAAAAGCGAAATATTTACTTTTTCAGGCCAAGAAGATTTTATGTCGTTACAAATGCATTATAAGTGCATTATATGCCATTAATAATAGGTTTAATAGGTGCTAAACATCATTTGATTTTTACATCAAACGTATTTACGTAGGGAAGTTGTTAAGGGCAGAATTGTATTAGATTTGATTAGATATGTAAAAAGTTACAAAAATTCATAGATGCGTTCGATAAAGTAAATAAAAAACGTATGTTTGGAGAAAACAATTGAAATTCGTTTTTACCACCATATAAAGTCTTTAAATATGAATTTTTAAAGGAAACAAAAAAATAGAGGTTTTTGGTTGGACTGGATCAAGGACAATGCAATTTTTGTGTCTTTGATGTCCGATATTTCCACTTACAAATTCATAATTTATCTGAATTTTAACCAAATTCAACATTAATACAACCGTTTGAAACAGAAATATTTCCTTGTTTCAGGCCAAGAAGATTTGGATTTTATGTCATTATGGGTGCAGTATATGTCATTAATTTATATTTGTTAGGTGCTCAAAATTAAATACGTAGGAAAGTTGTTAAGGGCAGAATTGTATTACATTTTATTAAATATTTAAAAAGTTACGAAAATTCAATGACGATTAAAAAAGTACGCTTGAACAAAAAACAGTTGGTAGCATTTTAACAACCCTATAAGGCCTTTAAATACCTTATAGTATTTAATATATAATAAAAAAAAATTTAGTTTCTTGCTAAAAGCATATTTTAATCTACTTTGCTTAGATTAGCTCCAGCACAATTCCATAATCCTAGAGAGAGGTATTTATGTAATTTTTGTTTTGTGTTGTCCGTTGTTCGATTTGAAAATTCATAGCTTATCTGATTTTTATCCAAATTGGACATAGTTACAACCGTTGGAAAGCTGAACATCTCTTTCATACTATATCAAGAATGTTAGGGTTTTCTATTGTTATAATTGAGACATAGAAGGATGAAAAAACAAAACTCTCTGAAACGTTTTATTTTATTTCTCAGGTTCTGATTTATTCACGGAAACCAGGTCCGTACCATTGCGTGTAGTTTATGGGATTCTAAACAATTTTCAAGTTTCCTGTAGATCGGTCACGTTGTTTAAAAGTTATCATTTTAGTGATTTTCGAAAAAAAAATCCTGAGTACTTGAAAGGCGAAATAAAAAAAAAATTGATTTTCACAAAAATTCGTATTCAGAAAACGAATATAAAGATGTATACTATGTTTCTCGTTTAAAAAAATATAATAAAATTTAAAAAAAATTACACGAACTTTGTTTAGTAGCTTGATCACAAATTATTATAGGCCGAGCACTTATTTTTGTATCTTACATAACAAAATAATAATCTGACTGATATATTATAAAAACCTTGAAATACATGCACAACAAATGGAGAAATCCAATAAGCAAATTATGTGAATTACTTTAAAAAAATCTCGGCTCCTAGGGGTTAAAGGCAAGGGTGTCTTTTTCGAACTATCACAATACAATTTCCATAAATATCGGTTTTAACTTATCTGTGACAATTACATACATCCTAATTTTATTTTGGCATTACTCGCACTTTAAAGATAAATTAAAACAGGATTATCTTCAGACGTTTCCTTTTCATTTATGTTGCTCGATATGCTCCTTGTATCTACAACCCCTTTACGTTAATTATATTTTTACCCTGGGGTTTTAACAGTGCCCTTTACCTAACAGCTTCTGTCTGAATTATTCATTCGGTCCGGAGAAAGTTTAATCGTAATTTTTCTCAAGTTATTTTTACCGTCGGGCCTGGGTTTTTAACCGATACTCTGTAAAACAAACAAGAACTTTTATGTATTTTTTAGAATAATTTTCTTTTTAATACACACTTCCACAGAATTTAAATTACCATTTTTATAATTAATCGTTAAAAAAAAATTGGGGTTTTATAATCTTAGTATAATTGTAATAAAATACATTTAGACTATGTAGACTATTAAAACAACAAAATGACCATGGAATGTCCGGCTTTTATTTGCCACCCTCGAGAGGTTCTGGGTTCGAATTCCGGCAGAGCACGTGGAATTTCGAGTCGTTGAACGTTAAGCCCTCCTGTGTAAAAACAAGTAGTGCAGAGGATGAAAAGATTTCGGTTTTTAAAATCCAAATTATCGACTCGTGATAGTCTTGCTAATTAAGCTCATTTCCAGTTCGATTTATTAAATTTTCTTTTAATATTGACGATTTTCAAGAATATTTAATGTCTGTTTTCAATGAATAACCACTGTGGGGGATACAGCATAATTTTGCTATCGTTTTCTCCGTACATAAATCTCATAATCTAAATTAACTTCGTGGGAAGACGATTTTCCGTGGATTTTCTTCTTAAATAATCTGTCAAAAAATCTATAATATAAAATGAAAAGTTGGTTTAATTTTGGGAAAAATCTTGGTGTATATTATCAAATCGGAAAGGGGTTGATAATCTTTGAGACGTTAATGGATGGCCAAACCTCGGGACGTAATACGTACTAGTTGCTTTGCCAAGCCAGTTCTAGGTGTAATTTATCATCCTTCCAATAATACCGGAGTGTAATACACTTTCGAGGGACGGTTTTCTAAAGGGAAACACCGAGACGGTTCTGATTGCTCCAGAGTTTTCCTTTGATATTTCATGCGTGATCCTGTCTCGGGGGGGGGGGTCATATCCAATTTAGAAACTCTTCCAAGACGTCTTGAACTGTAACTTTGGGCCGTATATCTCGGCTAAATAGCGCAGTTAAGCTATTATCAAACATGAGATAAGGGATAAACAATCCAAGTGTCGGGGTGGCTGTGAAAATGACGGGTGTTTGCCAAGTAACTATCTTTTTGCTTCCTGCGTGTCAGACTATCCAGTAATACAATATTTGGCGATTCGATCCGTTAATTGCCAAGCCGTCCACATTTAATTGACTCACGGCATTTCCAACTCGCCGTATGATTTAATTTTTTTAATCAATAGTTTATTTGTAATTACAATTACAATTACAGGATTGGATGCGCTGGATATTGGATGATTTGGGGGAAGCACACAGTTCCTTTTCGTATGCCAAATTAGGCCACCCAATGGCTTTCACGTATCAATGTGTGCCTCTCGGATGATATGACTCGTAGAAGATTCCGATTACATGCAGAATAAGGTCGATGTTAATTGATGGGTTCCATTCCTTGGTTCCATACAGAGAGCGTGTACTGAGGTCATTGTGGATATGAGTTTAGTGACGTTGTAAAGAACTGGGAGAATTTTTCTGAGGCCTGATTGGAAGGTTTGGATGAGCTAAATATTTCAGTCAAATCAGGTAATAAAATGGCTATCACTGCACTTCTAGGACACATCAGGAACCAGCCAATGGTTTCACTCAATGGGTAGGTATTTCCATGCTTCTTTTTGGGCTACTTGGAAGGACATCTAGTTTAGTGTAGAACTC